CTATAAATAGGTCCTATGTAGTAACGTACGTGTGTGTGTGTGTGTGTGTGTGTGTGTGTGTGTGTGTGTGTGTGAGTGAGAGGGGGGTTCTATGCTATGACAACGACAATAACTCACGTTTGTAATATTTCTAGAAATGGATTCTATGCGGTGATTAATAGGACCGTTATAAGATATTAATGCGACCACAGGTGATAGACCGGGGGGAGGATGACACTTGCCCTCCCAGTTTGGACCTGATAGCGAAGTAACCCTTTGAAGTGGGAATAATAATGACTGGTGTATAATTATCAGGGAAAGCCGCTGTTTCAACTTTGAATCAAATGCTCACGGTTGACATAGCAAATAAGGGGCCTCCACCCCAATTCAAATTTGTTCCGCCACCTATGATTGCCACTAACAGCGCCATCCATATTTATACACAAAAATTATGAAACAAAAATTTAACAGACTAACTAAATTCTGTACAATTATTATTATTTTTTTATTAAAAGTAATGCGTGACCTCAGTTAAAGTTGGTCAAGGTTGTGTGAAAACTAGTCCTAGCACCAGTGTAGCCAGTCAACATCGCATTTTCCCATAAAACAGCCAGTCTAAAGTCAACTTTTAGCATCTTTAACAATCAAACGTTACCTAACACGCACCAGTGATACAGAAAACACTTGCAAAGAGAAAAATTTTCATTGGTTTGTTTTTCGCGCAAAATTACACGAGGGTTGTCTTCGCTAGCCATCCTTAACTTAACAGTGATAAACTAGAGGAAAGGCAGCTAGTCAACACCACTCACCGCCGACTCTTGGGCTACTACCAACGAATAGTGGAATTGAACGCCACATTATATTACCCCCATGGCTGAAAGCGAGAACATGTTCGGTGACGAGGATTCGAACCTACGATCCTCAGCTTGCGAATCGAGCACCCTAACCACCAGGCCATGCTAGGCCGTGGAATAATTTTAGCAATTATTTTTAAACATCTTTTAAACCTATTTGCATATATCAAACCCCAAAAAAATAATTTCTAGCCAATAGCAAGTTAAAAGTTTAAAAAGATGAACATTAAATAGATGTCTCTAACACGAGTTATAAAAACTGAACTACTAAAAAAATGGCAAAAAAAAGAATCACGAGGAAAAGTATGTTCGATGTTGTCATCTAGCTCCACGGGTGGTAGGTAGAAAAAATAGAAGATTGACGCCAAGATTTTCATACGGTATTGACAGTACTAGTTATCTAAAAACAAAGGCAGTTTCATTTTTATTAGTGTACTAATTATTGACGAAAACTTATGTATACTGATTTTGTTCTTGTAATATAATGTTTAATGAATTAACAACAAAAACTAGTTTCGACAGACCAAGCTTGTAACTCCCAAGGGCCTGAGTGACTGTTTTCACTTATACGATCATATGTTCAATATGGTTCCAGAAATATCAAGGTTTACTAATGGTAGCAAAATGAAAAACGAATTTGAAAACAAACGAGAGAGAGAGAAAAAAAAAAGACATCCAAATAAAGTCGAGTTCAAATCACATTTAATTGTTGAGCACGTTTTTAAATATTTTTAAATATTTCTGTTGGTTATCTTGCGTTGAAGAATTCGAGTTTTGTAATGATTTTCGATTGATTAAAATTAATTTCGTGGTTGCTTCTGTAAAGATGTAAAACTAAAGCCGTTTTTTTTCCAGCTTTTTTCCTTTATACTCTAATTGTAAAATAAATAAATATTTCCGTTTCCCCGATATTATAAGTACGGATTACGTCATTACAAGAACAACGAATGGCGTGTCTGTGGTGATAGATTGCCATGTTCTATCTTTCCTTTCCTCATATTAAACTGTTAAAATTATTTAAAAGTAACTATAAAAGCACATTGAAACATTAGCATGTTGTTATTTCAACATAAAGACTTGCCTATCCTGATTTCAATCGGACCTTGTTAGTTAAACATACGACGTGTATTTATTATGACAAAAACAAACTCACCAAATACACTTTAACTGGACCACGACCTAGAAAATTGAAGTTATGCAATCTTGCTTCACTGTATCATAAGGTCAGGTTCACTAAGTCGGTTACCGTCAACAACTGAACGAACACTCTTATTCTCACCGCTCTCGTCTTCTACTGATTCGGCTCAACAGGTGTCGCTCTGATATATAACGTACACACGCGCGATGCCCCGAATATTTTTCAGGTTCGTCAGATTTTTGTATTATTTATTTATTGAGATTTATGACTGGGGGGAATTTGTTTGTTTTCGATCTATATGCGCTAGCTGTTTCCGATTAAAGGTTTCTTTATGAATAGTCATAAACTGTTTATTGACGTTTGAAATAAACGTGATAAATATGAACGAGTCTATCATGGTTATTAACGGAAAATTATGGTTTAAATCTTTACCTTTAGATATGCAAGGCTTAACGTTAAGATGTATAAAAAAACGGCCTCTTTAGACCTACAGACACGTGTTTGTCTTTAGTTTGACCTTGACAACATTCTTCCATTTTCCACTGCCTGTTATTATATGTTGGAGTTATATATATGTAATTCAAACATTATATTTAAAAAGTGTACAAAATGCAACTACAACTCGATAAGCAAGCACTGGGAGGGGGAAAAAACGAAATGTTGACCTCTCTGAGAAAGTTGGTCTTTTGGAAGCTCGCGCAACGCTACACGAGATCTATCTGCGCCAGCCGTCCCTAATTTAGCAGTGAAAGACGAGAAGGAAAGCAGCTAGTCATCACTACCCACCGCCAACTCTTGCGCTACTCTCTTACCAACGAATAGTGGGATTGACTGTCACATTATAACGCCCTCACTGCTGAAAGGGCTGGCATGTTTGGTGGGATGGGGAGTCGAACCCGTGATTTTTATATTGCGAGTCTAGCGCCCTAACAACCCGGCCATAACAGGCCCTGAGAAAGTTAATTAGCCTTTCTCTAAAATTTTGTATCCAACCTTGGTCAACAATATAAACCTCTCGGTAAGCTTGAAGGCTTATAATACTAAAATTCAGGGTTCAATCCCAGTGATGGGCACATCGCATATAGCCCATCATGGAACGTTACAATTGGAAACAAACAAATAATAATATTAAACAGATATAATATAATTACTAACGACGAAAGCCAGCGGGAATGAAGTGATATCACGTGATCCTGGAGTGTTCATTTCCCGCGCAACTTCATAAATTTTCAAACTTATGTGGAAAGTTGCAATAGCGTTTGTTTTAGCCAATAACACAAAAATGCACACCTACCCACCGTCAGCACACACACAGATACAGAAGAATGAAACACACAAACAAACGAAGCAAACAAAAACATTTATGGCTTCCTAGCACAATATCGAAACTCTCAACATATCCAAACAATACTTCATACTGCTAATTCCATACATAATACAACAGTTCATGAACTGTTGTATTATGTACGGAATTAGCAGTATGAAGTATTGTTTGGCTATGTTTATAATTGTTGTAGGGTTCATGAACTGTTGTATTATCTATGGAATTAGCAGTATGAAGTATTGTTTGGCTATGTTTATAATTGTTGTAGGGTTGGGCTATGTTTATAATTGTTGTAGGGTTCATGAACTGTTGTATTATGTATGGAATTAGCAGTGTGAAGTATTGTTTGGATATGTTTATAATTGTTGTAGAGTTCACGACACATTAAATCAATAAGAAGAAAAACAGTAGTACAGGAGGAAGGAAGAGGTCATTTGAACCTGACCATCCCAGAAATTCAAGACCTAAATCCTGATACCTGCGAACGCCAAGATTCGTATTAGTATTCACACCATGATTTGTTTGGAGGGACAGCAGTTTCCTTCCCCTAAAGCTCCGAAGAGGGGCCCCAAACGGCAGTTTCTGTAAGACATTTCTCGTCAAGCGGGATTAACACATCTACGCACATTACGCCATAGCGGATGGACCCCAGTTAGACTGGGGGGGGGCGGTCCTCGTGAGGTCAGCAGTCTTCCTTACCCACTCCTTCCAAGCCTTTTGTGAAATAATGCTCCTGTTTCCTATCTGGATTCTGGTGGGATTGAAGGCGAAATCACGGAATTTGTTAAGAGATTAAAAACTAGAAGGAAAATCGTAAACTCAAAACTTTTTAGAATTACTACTACTCGAGAAGGCGTTCTTAAAAATTCTAGAATTAGCGATTGAAAGTTGTCCAGTGAAAAAATTACACCTGACCTAATGAGCTAACTTCTAAGGTTGGGGATTTCAATCTGAATAGAACTTTAATGTGGCACGTGCGTTGAAGAGGCAGATCAGATGCACTTAAGGGGCAGGCATAACCACCCCTAATATGGAAAACGGGGATAGCAGTCAGTCAGCTATCTATTAACTGCCCACCACGGGTATCGAAACCCAGTTTCTAGCGTTGTAAGTCCGAAGACATGCCACTGGGTGGCCAATCAGTCAGCAGCAGCAAGATACTCCTGAAGAAGGGGAATGATGTTAACACTTATAACGCCTTCAAAGCTGAAAATTGCTGTTTCAACCTTCGTTCTCCATCCCGTCACGCTAACAACTAGGCCACATCCGGCTCAAAATTGTGAGAAATAGCTTTGACGAATATGTTCAGTAACTATTTATATGATAAATATAACAATTTATTTCAAACAAGAATAATTCACTTGAAAACTTAATGTTGAACATGGTAGTAAAGAATTTGGAACTAATAGAAAAATTTTCAGTTGTGCTTAAAATATGTTTTCCTTCTTTTTTAAGTACACAGTTGCACGATGGAGCATTTATGCTGTGCTTATCACAAGGATCATACTCCACATTTTATCGTTCTAAGCCTTCAACCTTAACTTATTTTCCTTTTTCATTACATCTCAGTGTTACATTCTACTACATCATTACGTGTTGGCGTTACATTCTATTACATCATTACATGTCAGTTACATCTTACTACATCATTATAATTCTACTACATCATTACGTGTTGGCGTTACATTCTATTACATCATTACATGTCAGATTACATCTTGTAACTGACACGTAATGATGTAGTAGAATGTAACACTGAGATATAATGATGTAGTATTCTACTATATCATTACGTGTTGGCGTTACATTCTACTACATCATTACGTGTTGGCGTTACATTCTATTACATCATTACATGTCAGATACATCTTACTACATCATTATATCTCAGTGTTATATTCTACTACATCATTACGTGTTGGCGTTACATTCTATTACATCATTACATGTCAGTTACATCTTACTACATCATTATATCTCAGTGTTACATTCTTCTACATCATTACGTGTTGGCGTTACATTCTATTACATCATTACATGTCAGTTACATCTTACTACATCATTATATCTCAGTGTTACATTCTTCTACAT